GTTTATAATTTATTGGACCACAAACTATCATCATCATCATCACCTTTAAATGATCCCGTAATTCCTTGCGGAATGGAGTCTGGGCAACTGGATGGAGTTGAGCTTTTACTGGCTGGATGCCCTTCCCTGTCGCCAATGCGGAGTCTTGTTCAGCAGATATATTCTCATGGGGCCCAGAGAGAGAAATATCTGCCTCTACCTAGGATCGAACTCACAGCCTCCTGATTGTGAGGCGAGAGCTCCACCTCTAGGCCACCGCACCGCTCTTATGGACCACAAACCATGAAGACAGCAAAATGCCTGGCCTACAACAGAAAAAAAAAAGGTCCAAAGTTTTTCAAACAACAATCTAGTTCGCTTCTCCCTCTGTGAGACTCGGAAATTTCCATCAGTTCTTTCTCCCGATGATAGCATCGTTTTCCTCCTTCAATTAAAACTGGATTAATTAAGCCTTCCCTATGTATTACTGTTCTGACCTAGGCTTCCTAATACAGTAAAAAGTCCCCCAAACTCTCTTTTTATTTCAAAGGCTGTGAATTATGTTCATTCACAAGCCCATAATGAGTCCCAAGTAGTCTGTAAGGAGTCCAACAGTAGTCTGCCAAAGTCTTTCAGGGTAAGGCTGAAAAGCATCCGCCTTTATCTTCCTTAAAACGCTGCCAAAAACCTAATTGGCAATTAGCTTCAAGGCCACATGAAGCAAAGAGTCAAAACGGAGCTTCAAAACATAAACGACCAGCATGAACCAAGTTGCTCCCTGCAAAGGCTCACATGCCTTTGCTCTTCCTTTATGTCCAATGGGAGGGGCCAATCACCTCCAAGCCTTACTCCCGAGTTGTCCTTTTTGTTTTAACTGTTCCTCTGCCTTGCTGATGTCTGGCTCTGGAGGCAGCACATAACTCCCAGATGGCCCTCGCCCCCCCCCCTCTGCCTCCGACACAGAGCCTTTGTCCGAGCCTTCCCCAGACTCCAGGACTGGGCCATGTTCCTCCCCAACCTCCTCACAGTCTGCATTCAGAGTTACTACAAGTAATTCTCAACTTAGGATCAAAATTGAAGTCGGAATTACGTTCGTAAGTCAGGGCAGTCATTAAGCGAGTCAATGCATGACTTCAACTGATTTTACAATCCTTTTTGCTGTGGTTCTCAAGTAAATATCACAATCATTAAATGCACTTCACCGTCATTAAGAGAATACTGTGGTTGTTAAGCGAGCCCATTATATCTGTAGGGGAATTAGAGGGGGAAAAATACAATTTGTTCATTTTTGAAGCATGAATGTAAAAAGTCTCACTCACCCAGCATCAAGCATTAGGTGATTCTTCTACCAATTTGTTTTCCATGCTCAATCAAATGGTTGCTTCACATAAACAATCTTTTTTTTTAATTAAAAAAAATTCTTTTTCTCAAAGTCGGTCAGGTGACAGATAATATCCATTTTTACAATCAAGGAACTGCCAACAGAGAAATAATCAAATAGCAAACAACAGCCTAATCAAGGAAGCACTAGTATCTCTCTCTATAAAATTGGCTGTATATGTATGTTCCAGCATAACTCTGGAATGCCTCAAGCAACTTCAACCAAACCTAGTACACAGATGACTTATTCTCTGGAAACAAATAAGTTGGGGAGGGAAAACACCCCTAACACCNAACTGCCACTTGGGCATGGGCGTGGCCAGCACGTGCCTCATCCGGTCTGCGGGCTGGGAGTTTAGACATTCTACTCGCCCTCCCCACCTGAAAAACTCTCTGATGCTAAGGAGTTAGACTGAGGGAGAGAAGGGGATAAGATAGGAGAGGCTTCTGTGGGGCAAGCCTGAGGGAGAGAAGGGGATAGGAGAGAATCAATGGGTCCAGCCTGAGGAAAAGAAGGGGAGAGGAGACATCGCTCGTAATTACTCATTAATTTTCAACCTGTGTCGATTTATTAAGCCCGATCACATAGTTCCATAGCAGAGCATGGATATCCAGCTAGTAAGAATGTAGTATTGCTCCTCACTAGATGCCAAATGTAGCTTTAGAATGCTACTCAGCACCCTAAAGAAGGTAATTAGACACCTAAAAACCCCTAAACCTCTTTGATAATTCCCCCTTCCCCGAATTTCTATGACAGAGAGAGAAAGAGAGAGAGAAAGAGAGAGAGAGAGATTACCTTCTCCTTTTTTTTCTATTTTTAGATTATTTTTTTTTCACATATGCACAAATCTTGCTGGTTTCTTTATATTTTTTGGCCACTCACGTTTTCTTTTCCTCATAATTATTTTCGTTCAGTTGCCCTACCCCAGGCTGTGATGGCAGTGGACACATCACGGGAAATTATGCTTCTCACCGCAGGTTAGTTGACCTTACCTACCCTTACTCTTTTCGGATTGTGACCGTCTCTTTTTTAAAAAAAAATCTTTTCTTATTTTTTATTTTATTTTTAAATGATAAGTGTGGATTCTTTGGTTCTATTCCAGGGATGGGCAACTACAGCAATTTTAAATGACCGGTGGACTTCAACTCCCAGAATTCCTGAGCCAGCCATAAATGGCTGGCTCAGGAATTCTGGGAATTGAAGTCCACCGGTGATGAAAGTTGTTCTAATTGCTCGCCCTTCTTCTATTCCCTCTTCCCCTTGCTTTGATCTTCCCAACTTTTTTTTTTTTTTTTTTTAGCTTACCCAAATATTCCATCTCTTCTTTTTCAGCCTTTCTGGTTGTCCTCTTGCTGACAAGAGTCTCAGAAACCTCATGGCTGCCCACTCTGCTGACCTCAAGTATGTTTGCGCTCAACTCTTTGTTTCTTTTCCCCCCTATTCCTCTCGCTTCTTATTCTTTTGGCTTGCAATTTCCCTTGAAAGTCGAAATCTGCCTGGGAGCTGACTTTCGATATACCCCATTCACAACACGTTACAGGAAGTCCTCGACTTGCAACCATCCGTTTAGCAACCAGAGTTGCAACAGCAGTGCAAAAAAAAGGGGGGGGGTCATGTGATTAAAAATTCAGACGCTTGGCAACTGACTCCTATTTATGACGGTTGCAGTGTCCCGGGGGTCATGGAATCCCCTTTTTGCAATGGGCAAAATCAATGGGGAAGAAAGATTCGCTCAACTGCAGCGAGTCACTTAGCGGCTGTGGCAAGAAAGGTCGTAAAAACGGGGCAACGCTCACTTAATAGCTGCCTCACTTAGCCACGGAAACTTTGCACTCCGTTGTGGGCGTAAGTCGAAGGCTACCTGTATTGGATTGGGAAGGGGGACACAGGCGTTGGGTGACAGTAGGAAAAAGTGCTCTGAAATTTTTAAACATTCACACTGATTTATCTATTTATATATCTATATTTGAATCTCA